GCAAGGGATATATAATCTAATAAATTTTTTTTTATATTTAAAAAATATTTTCTAGAAACTGAGAAGAAAGCTAAGTTTTTGGATATTGGATGTTTATTATTACATCTAATTATTGGTAACTATTTATAATATAGAACTTGGAATATAATTAAATTATTAAATTAAATTGAATAGAATTCAGTAATATAATCTCTCTTATAATTAGGCTACGGCTAATAGGCAGGCAGATATATTAAGATTTTATTTACCTATTATGCACATACCCAGTCTTATGGAGAAGTAGTGCTACAATACTTGGAAAACTCTTCTTCGAAACCGCTGAATAGTTTTTAGTAACTGAAATTGAACATTTTAAGAATTTCCAACAAAAAAAAATATAAACTATTAAAAATGATGTAAACAACGTTCACTACTTGAAATATAAAGTCATAAGAATAAAGAGAGACCATCTCATGGAATTCGCAATAGAGCCATAAACTGTTGATAAGATTTACCATTATATGTAACCTGGACTCGGTAATTCTGCCAAATTATAATTATAATTCTGTCAAATTATGTAATCATATTATTACTTTTCATATTAAATGATTTTTTGAACGAAAACCTATACATATATTATGCGAATATGGCATAATGAAGAAGAGTAACACCAAAGACGATTGTTAATCATTGTAAGCAGTTTATTTTATTTAAGCTGCAGTCGTGTAATGTTGATACAAGAAGTACTATACTATGCTGGAAGATAATCCAATATTACTGGAAGGAACACAATTTTCATTACTAACATTATGTTAGATATTTTGTGTTTTTATCATCTATTGATAAGAGAGTACAAGATCTTAATTAAAACATTTATTTTTCGGTTAATGCAGTTCACATGTCGTTTAAACGTAAACCAAACATATAAATAATGTTCTATATAAATTATATATGAGATTAGATTAGATTACTTTTACTACTCATAATTTCCTTAGGTATTCTTTTCCATATTTTATAGTCCAATGCGTTGTGCTTGTAAATTTAAATATTTAAAAAATGTTACTCATAAATTTGATATTGATTATTTGTTAATTAAATGAAATTCTAATGGTATTCTAATTTAATTTAAAATTTTAATTTAATAAAACTATTTTATCATAAAAGGATAGCACAGCTAAACATTTAAAAGATAACAGATTCATTAACTATTACGACGTTAGTAGGAAGTTAAATGAAAGTCTCAGTCGCCACAACAGCAGGTGCCGTTGAAGGTACACATTTTTAACAGTAATCCATACAATTTTCGCACTACACGCCACTAATCCCCACACAGCTAGATATCTTTTACGCTAATTCTAGGCTTTTTCAACGGTATAGAATGTGTTTGCACATTTACGAGCAATCAGAAAATACTGAAGCACCGAAGATTCGCACTATTTGCAAGTCCATAAAAAATAATCAGTAAGTGAACTAACTGCATATGATTTACAACCACGAAGCAGAATTTTGCCAGCTTTATGGTCCTACGTGCACCGAAGAGAACATGGCTCACAGCAAAACAAGGCAATAAAAAATTTCGCATCTATTGGCAACTTCATTCATGTTGCTTAAGATAATTCTAAATGACCTCATTGATCTTTCCCAACAATCTAACAATCATCACTTGCAGGCCATTATTCGTCGAGCAACCGAAATGATGGCATAATAAAAAGTGAAAATTAAAGTTGTGAGGCTGCACGCTAGCAACACATAAAATTTGCTATTGTTGTGGTTGTTGTAGCTGTTGTAGTTGTTGCAGTTGCTGGGGTTGTTGTAGTTACTTAATAGGATTCATTGAATGGTTGATAGGTGCGAAATGTGTAAGCGTACAACAACAAGAGTAACAAAACCCATCCACGGTCAACTGCTCGTGCATCGGTAATAGCTGAAGTAGTAGCAACACAATTTGCATGCCACATTACGTGAGCCAGTGGTTGAGGAGATGAAGATGTGCACGGAAACAAGAGGACGCCTTATGCAACAACTCAAAAGCCCATTATGGTTTGCTGCCTCCGTGAAATAAGATGGCAAGTTTGCACTAAAGTTGCATAACTTCACTAAGACATTATGCAAATTTTTTTACTAAATGACATATTGACACCATTTCTGTTATAGAGAAGATCGTTTTGATACAATAATCACATGAATGAATTGAACGGAGCGATTGCAAGGTATGGAAAGGAATTGAGAAGACAATGAGCAGAAGATTTTACAATATATGCCGAAATGAATAAGGAAGGAATTCGGAAATTTGTTAAAACGTTACACAAATTATACGAATTAAAACAACTTTAAATCAAAAGTGCTATATCTCATTTAGTTTCATATTCGTAAAATTTATTCTAATACTCCAAAAGAAAAGTGTCATTTTTTCGGCAAAAAACTTTACTAAGCCAGATTATTATTGATAATTATAAGAAAATGCAAGTTTTAATTAGAACGTTTGCGACGCAAAATACAAATGAATTTTAACATTCAGACAGCTATCACCAGAATACCCAAACTGCAGTACTATCTTATAACAATGGCCAACATGTGTTATATGAAGAGCGCTATGAGATTTAATATAAATATTAACAAGTCCCTATTGATATTTTAGAACGTCTCCACATTCCACAGTGCTTGATTTCTACATCTAACACTTGCTAGTTATAGACCCAGTGAACCTAATGATAAACGTTTAGCATACAGAGCAGTGCATTAGTATTTAATTACTATAGAATACCTTACAGCTGATGAAAAAACTATTGATAAAACACAGAATCTGTAATATTATAAGGAATATATATCGAATGATTATTTTGTACCTCAAATAATTTAAATTTACTATATCTTTTAAAATCAATCACTTACAATCGATGAAAACGAAAAATATTTGGTTAAGTTCAATAATTGAAATTCTATGGAGAGTAATTCTAAAAATTTGGTGTCGTTGTCTTCACAAAACTATTTCTATAATCATTTTGCAATACTCGTACCTCTGTAACTCATTAAGGACCTTATTATAATAATGTCAAAACGCTTAATTTTAAGAGCCAAGTTGAGAGCTAAATTGGGACATGAATGGTAGCCAACTGACAAATCATGTAACCTGCAAAAATATATAAGAATTTATTATATATCTTTCCTTATTCTTTTCCCAATCTAAATAAAATTTCTTCTTTTCCTCCTAATGTTCTATTTATAATTAAGCTAATTAAAAACCAACATTAAAAACTCCCTGCCTTCGGCTAATATAATTTTTAACACCGAATGGATTTGATTAGACCACCTTGTTTATTTTGTATTACAGGTATATTTAATATTATTATTAATAACTTCCCATGACCAAATTATCGTTAATGATCAATTCGCTAAGCAAACAAAGTTACGCATCAACAAGAATAATCGTAATCCAAATCGACCCAAACCAAAGCAAACCAAACCACAGACATGAAATAGTTTGGCAAGAGTGCAATGAACTCTTTTTCCTCAATTTTTAGCCATTTTTAACCATGAGCAAGACAGTAACTTTACCTTGAGTTCAATAGATAAAAGAATTGATGCTTTAACAAAAAACATTTTTTGAAGATGTGAACTAAGCGATACAAATAAATAGAAAAAACCTTATTTTAAAATTAACACAAATTAAATGCAAACTGCGAAACTAAGCCGGCTTCGCATCCATTCACTAAACTCAAACTCATTCAGATACTTGAACTGTCTGAAGCCACTTGCGAGTACTTGTACTAAACCATTTACTCACTCACCTTTTGTTCGCGCATTGCTTCATTCTGCATAGCGCCGCGATGTTCACGATACCGCAAACGCATCTCTTCCTCTTTAACCATGTATTTGTCTTTGTCTTTGTCTTTGTCTTTGGATGTCGCTTGAGCACCGCTGCTGGTGGTGCTGCTGTTGGCTCGCACATGACGCTCTGATTCTTTCTTGGAGGTGTTACTACCGCCACTGCTGCCACCGCTGCCTCCACCGCCGCCACTGCCGCCGGTAAAAAGTTGTTTGACTTTCTCGAATCCGCCAAGTTTTTTGTTTCGCTTGAGCGTTTCTTGTCCTTGAACGGTTTGTGAGTGCTGATCTTTGTGCCGCAGAGTACTAGTCGCCACCGGATATTTGTCCAAATGTGGGTCATAGTGTGAGCCATCATCGATGGAGCGTTCGCGATAAACATAATTGTCTTTGCGTCGTGTTACGTGCTGTTGTTCAGTGTGGCGGCGTTCTTTTTTCAAAAACATTTCACAGGCTTTCATGTCGTCGACAACCGTACGTTTACGCCATCTAAAATGCATACATTAAAATTAATTGATACATAAAGAATTTTAATGAAAGGGTCTGAATTTGTGTCAGTTTCGCAAAGAAAGAATGCAATCTTAAAAGATGAAAGAAAGTACGTAAATGTTTTAACGTTGGCATATTCTGAACAATATCGATCATTGCTGTATATATAGGACACTTTTAACTTAAACTAAAATATGGTATGATGGTAATTAATATATATTATACAATATACTCGTATACTGTTTTGGTAACAGTCCAAAATATTTAAAGTAGTTCATTACTTGAATCTAAAAAAGTGAAAATAAAGTTTAAGTCAATTTCTTGCTTCCTCTCCGAAACTAAAAACATTTATAGAACTTATTTAAATTATACTCTACCTATATATATTAGAATTAGATTATTAGATCACATAAAAATAAATGCCTTTTCTTTATTTAAACTTTATATCAAAGCATCGCTATGACTTTAAACAATGTTACTTTTTCATTTTAAAATATAAAATTTTTTTATTTGTTAACTACTATTTCATAATCTCGGAAAATATTAATGTTCTTTCATTTTTGCATTTCTTAGTTTTATCCCTATCTTTTTTTATATCAGTTGGATTAAAGTTTTTATACTCACCTTGTTGTCAAGTCACCATTAAAAGATTCTTTTCGAAAATCGTTTTCAATTCCGGAGTCACCCTTATCGAAACTTCGTTGTTGCATTTTATCCCGTTTCAAGCTGCTGTGCCAGTGGTCTTCGCTACTGTGCTGCTGTCGTGGCAAGTTTCGTTCCATGCTCATTTCGTACCTCTTCATATTCTCTGGCGAAGAACGATACTGATCGGTGCTGGTGAACTGTGAATCCAAACTTTTCGGTTCATAGTCTGTAAGTTGTTGACCCTCGAGTGAGGACTGGTCTCGCTGACCAGTAAAAGAATCCAATCGTTCTTGATGTCTCGATTCACGTACATGTGGCTTACCATCTGCATCGAGATGTGTTTCACGTTCATATACATCCTTTACCCCACCTCTACCATCATCGTAGTATTTAGTATGCTTGTAACGAGAGGTTTTTTCCATTTTAGGTAATGTATTCATCAACGTTGTAGTTGTTTTTGTAGTAGGCGATATTATATCTAGATGTGAACGTTCTGGTGAATATTTTTGTAAAATTTCATCACTTGCTGGTTTGTGGAAACGTGGCTCATACGGTTCACGATCTGGACTCAGATATCGATGATGAGTGGTTTGAGATTGTAGTAGATCTCTATTTCTTTCCGGTGAATTGCTGTAATGGTATCCATTAGAACGTGGCTGATGGTCAATTGTACGTTCTGGTGTACCGATATCACCAAATCGGCGTGTTAATATGCGTGATTCTAAGCGTGCTCGACGATATCGTAAATCATCAGCTGGTTCATCACGGTATGGTGACCGGTAGGGTTGATTTTCGTAACTATTTTCTCGTGTTGGCGTTATACTGCGTATGACTGGCACAATTGGTGGCTCAGCGGGTGATTTGCTACGAGTTTTTAAAGTTTCATCGTCATAATATTTACGAGTTTCGATACCAAGCCCTTCATCTTCATCACTTAAGTTACGTGGACTTAGTTGTTGCCATGGTGAAGGGGAATGTGAACTCGAAATACGTATAGTAGTCGGTCCTGCTATAGGTGAAAAGGAATTGCGTGTACGTGCTGGTGACTCAATTATGACTCGACTACTACTATTTTGCTTACTGTTATTGTGACTAGTTACAAATTCTGTACGATCTACTGAATTTCTATTGTAATTGCTATTATTAGTATTGGAACGAAAGTCTCGCTCTTGTGAGCGTATGTCTCTCGCAGGAGATCTATACTCCCTAACAGGGGTACGTATTTCACGTGTGGGTGAGAGTAAACGTTCCTTTCGTTGTAGTGTGTTTTGTTGATGTTCATCATTCAAGTCAAGCTGGGCATAAGTGATACCTTCATTTGGTCGTATATAAGAAAATGCTGGACCAGATATAGTTGGTGGAGGTGAGAAACGTTCCATTGATAATCGTTTTACCATTCCATTTACAGTAACACCCTTTGTCAGAGGCAGCTTTTGCGCCGGTAACTGTGAACTGTGCATGTTTTCGTTTGATTTAGATTGTAGCGTTAAAATTTTGTCTTTTATGCCTGCCGAAATTGGATTTTTACCTAATATATTACCATCAACTTCAGCTTTTACTTCGCTACGGTGGAGCAATTCTTCTATAGCGCTCTCATACTTCTCACGGTCAGTGATAGCATCCGACTTGCGTCTTTCTCGATTGAACTGTTCCGCGAAATAGTCTTCTCTCTGCGTGTTTTCAATAATTGGACTTAATTGTGTGGGCAATAGTTTTGTCGAACCGTTATGTGTTGGCTTTGAGTCCTTCAAGGCTTTTTTTAATTTTCGTTCGCCACGGTTGTACGAACCGACATCACTCTTGCTTCGAACTAATCTTCTGCCACCACTATCCTCAAAACGTGGGTCACGTTCACTTTGATTGACATTCGTGTCACTTTTTCGACTAAAAATATTAAAGATAGACGGCCGTTTGGCAGATTTCTTAGCAGCTGCGTCACTGGAACTACGTGCGACTGGCTTAGTCGGTGCTTTTTTCTTACGTGTCGGTAATGAGTGAAATTTTTTAGGATTCGTGTCCTTTGTGGTGTTAATACTGCTACTGCTGTTTCGTTTGGTCTTGACCTTGAATGTTGGTATATTATCACCGTTCTCGGCTTTACTTTGATGACTTTCGGCTTGTTTTAATACTAGTGCAGCTTCTTTGCGTATGCTCTCCTCCGATAGATCAGCAGGTAATTGATGATATGCTGGCAAGTTATTTTGTGGCGGTTGGAGATTAGTAGTTTCGTAATTCGTTAATTCGTTTGGGCGTTTGCCTGGAATGATCGAGGAAAACAGAATTAATATAAAATTTATTTTAAAATGTAACATGGTTGAAAGATATTTGAACTCTAAACTGCTCTTATGAACACAGTATTTAATGTTTTAGGCTTAAGATCAAGCGTAATATTTACGCATAATTTCACCTTGACGTAGTGCAGATCTATAATTAATGCGTTGATTAAGTTTTACTCAAAATAGTACAATATTTACTACAGTAGACAAAGTAAATCAGAGAAATAAAAAAAATCAATAAATATATTTCAATAATAATTTTGAAAATCAAACGATTTAATTTATTCATGTTGACCAGCTAACCGATGATTGAGAGCAAACAGCGAATTTAAGTAACTTGAGGAGTTTTTGACAGTTTCGAATGAGTTTGGCAACACATCATTGCAGTGGTGGTTCAAAACTTATGAACCACACGTACGAGTGGCAACCATTCTCTTTTACTTCGGCGAGCCTTGCTTCAACGCTATTTTGATTGATGTCAAAAGACAGACGTTTGGAGAAGTATCGCAATGGATTGATTGGAGAGGTACGAAATTATAAGACGTAGATAGAATGTCAAAAAAATTATGAACGAAATATACTCCGAAAGCAAAGAAGTTAGTTGCTTTTGGTAACATAAACACGGCTTAAGTGTTGACAATGAGTTAATGTGCAAAATACTTTAGACGAAGCTCAGCAGCGGAAGACGGGAACGTGATTTTAACCAGCAGATCAGAAAATAAAATTGTTAATCTAGCAGGCACGAAAAAATTTGCATATTTTATGGTTGTTTATTGCAATTTAATTTTGTTGAATTTTAAATTGATTTGAAGAATTCCGCAAATTTATAAATAATTTCATTTGCTACAATAATTGTTATTAGTGTGTGGATATAAAAAGTATTGAAATCAAATGAAATTTGTGCAAATTAATTATTGCTTCAGAAAATCAAGTTTTAAAGGATTTTATAGATGAATTACTCACTGTAAGGACTATGAAATCTATAAGTCTAACATTATTGAATAGAATTTACAGCATTTACGTAAAGTAATTTATAGCCAAAGTAATTAAATCAAATTTTAAAAATGTGTTTAAAGAAAAATCGTATAAATTACACTACTAATATGACTTAGTGACTTTAATTTAATTTATATGACTTACTCTTACTAACTTCTGTCCTTCTATTCTAGTAGAACATAATTTGTATTTATTATGCAGGGAACTCTTTCAACTTAGCTCAGAAAACAAAAAACAGAAAAAAAGAAAGAAAAAGCCAATGATTCTATAATGATATAATAAAAAATAGCAGCTAACAGCACTAAGAAAATAAAAGTATAATTTCATAAAAATGTGTGTAGCCAATTTAAGAATCTTTGCATATTTAAATATGAAAGTACAGCTGAGAAATAAAATTATAATTGCTGAAAAATATATCTAATACGTTAGGTTTTTTTTTGGTTTTGCATATAAATATAATTTAAATGTAGATCGTTCCGAAACATATGTCTAGAAGCTTCAGGCAGAGATGACATTTGTGCTTTCTTCTAGTAATTTTTAATATACCATTTCAATACAGTTTATAAGTTTTATAAGTAACTCTTTACTAATAACTGATGAATTAATGCAAAAAATAAAAAACACCACTGCTCAACCGAATTAGTTTTAATATAGGCATTTTATTAATTTGGTAATTAAGCATGACTATAGATTTGATAGTGGAGAGATTATTTTTTACGAAGTTCATTATTTAGCACTTTCCAAAGATTTCTTAAATAAAAAAAGGAAGCTATGCAAAACGAATAGAATGGTTTTTCGTTAAAACGAATAGATTTCTTAATTAACAAAAATTATAAGATACATTAGCAAATACTTTACTTAAAGAAAATTGCACACAAAAAAAATTGCAAATAATTTGTGATATATTTCAATGGCCAGCATCAATTTAAACTCATTAAATTCAAAGATTGACAACTACAACAAACTACAACTGAGCACGATCCAAAAACAATAATCAAGAGTGAATTTGAAACAAAAATTGCTACATTTCAAGGTTAACACAAACCAAAAAGCACCAATTTTCATGAGTGGACCACAAGTGGGCAATGAAATTGTAATTCACTTCAACAAGAAGAAAAAATTACGTGTTTCACAAAAAGATCCAAATAAAAACTCAAATTGAAACCAAAAGTTTATGAGATGCAAGCACAGCGATAAGAAATATACATAGCCTTGCTGTGTGTACAGCTTAGAATGTATCTTAAAGATACAATACGCGTATCAGCAGACACGCATCTCTAAATTAACAACCGAGCATAAAAGTACGTCGATATTGTGTCTACTAATCACGTGCTCATTTTTACGCGAATTAAATAATAATTTTTCGAAATAAAACAAAACGAGCAACAAGAATATAAAAACATTGAATATATTTATAAAAAAAAAAAAAAACAGCCACAAAACAGAAAAGAAAGAATTTAGTAACTAGCAGTTAGTGATGCTAACACACAAACAGATACACAAATTGCCATACGAGTGTGGATAGCATATTTCATAGCTAAAACTGAAGCTGACGTTAAAGTTGGAGTTGGAGTTGAAGTTGAAGTTGAAGTTGCAGATACAATTACGTAAAGTAATTCAATCAAATGTTATATTTAGTAAAATTGGCGTTGAGTTGCCGCATAAAATGGGCTTAGCTAAAAGTTAAGTGTTGACGTGTTAAGATTTTAGTTAAACATTTCATATGAACATCTATAGATACAATTATAGTTTAAGGTACGAACGCATACTATACATCATCTTTAGCAAAAGCAACTTTAAGGCACTTAGCATTTCACAGGCTGTTATGCTTTTTACTTTAACGTTACATTTTTATATAATTTTTATTTTAATCTCTTCTATCTTTTCTGGTACTTTGGATTTTGTGCTTTCGGTTTTAAGGTCTAAAATTCGTAGCTGAGAAAGAGCAACGTGAATGCTTCGACTTTAATTCCGACTTAAGCTACTTATCTTAGCTTGTTAATTAGAGTAGATTTGAACTGCTGACAATTACTTAAAATTTAAGCTCGTTTTCCAAGTATTCCAAGTATGAGAAATGATTTATTTTGTTATTAAATGTATTTTTTGCTTATAACATAAAAAATGTAATTAGTTAATAGAAGGAGGAATTTTATTAGATAACAGATCTGCTCAAATTCTGACCAAATGAGACAACGCATTTCTTAAAAACATTCACATATATGTGTATAGATAGACTCATATCGATAAAATAAGCTAACGGATACGTTATTATACGTAAGTGAAATAAACCTGACCTTTGATTTTATAATTTTATCTTATAATATAAGTATTATACTTTGTGTAATTTACATTTAATTAGTTGATTAAAACTTTTATAATTACCTTTTACAAGAAATTTAGAAATAAAGAAATATAGAATATTAGAAAGAAAGAAAATGGTATATTGTATCTATTGAGCGCTATTAAAAACTATAAATGAATAGTTTGAAAGGTTAACTTTGGATTTGTTAAAGTATTAAAGCATTTGGGTGAAAATTGGGTGAAAATTTTCTAAGGGTGCAAGCGCCCTCAGTGTATCTTTCCAGAGAACTCAATTTTGTGAGTAGCAATCGCTATTTCAAACCATGTCAAATAGTACTTCTGTAGTTCATATCGTATATAATACAACTCGCTATCTTGATCGTTGCTATTTTAATGATATTATTCTAAGATCTTCTTTATTTGTAGCTTTTTCGAAGCTTTTTCTGTTTTTTTTTTATTTTTAGGTCAGTGAATTTTGAAGGTATGAAAGCATTTGTTAACCCACACTAGTCATTTCGCTAAGATCTTTTTGAATACTAATCAATTTCGCATCTATACAGTATAATATATACTATAGGATACAAGTTCTATATATTCAGAGCGTTATTGATTTTAAGATGTGGGGTAATCAATACGTAATTCAATGAACAATCGGGACGACAGCAGGCATCCTTTCTTGAATTAATTTATATATTTATTTTTTATATTTATAAAGATATTTCCATATGTAATATTAACAAAAATAATTAAAGATATATATCTGAATATTTTTGATATAAGCGCTGAGAATGGAACTGTGTTGTATATGTCGCTGACTAAAAAAATAAGATATTTATTTTTGTAGAAATATTTCTGATAATACATTTTGATTTACGATACCGTCACCAAAATTTATTTTCACAATAAACATGTTATGTTTTTTTATTGTAAAATACAGAATATATAAATTTCAACACTGAGCACTGTAGAAATATATCAATGTTCGAAAAAATCGAATATAAATAAAAAACAAACGATTTATTAAACTACTGTCAAAATCAGATAAGAATTAATGTGTAAGTGAGCGTGGCGTTGGGTTTGTAGCTCGCAAATTTATCAGTTCGCAAATGCGCAAGTGAAAGTCGAAAGCCTGGAATTAAAAGCCTCAACTTTGCTAACAAATGCAAGTCGAATTTGTCTTAGCGGTTGTCAGCAAGTTTTTGCTGAGTTGTTTATTAACTTTTTACGCCGAACTTCAGGCCATAATCTAGCTACCCTCGTGCCACACAGAATGGCTAACTGCTCCTGCAAAACTTGGTCAACTTTGAAACCGACCACAGTGTTTACCTTGAGGCGGCCTCTGCGTCACTTAGCCACTCAGTCATTCGGCACTCTTTCAGTTAGCCAGTGAGGTAGCCACACAGATGGGCATTTGCTGGACCTCGTCAAACTGGCGAAGGCACGCGCATTGGCTTGTGGTCTGATCTATGCTCAGGCGAAATCATGTTTCGTCGAAGATTAGTTCATAAAATTCCAGTTAAAGTAAAGCAAAAATTGGACCAGATTCCTTATCGGCTGCGGTATTTTGTGTGCTGCTGCTGGCAAATCACAAATAAAATTTTATTTATGTGCATATTTTTCATATTTTTTATGAAATTTCCCAGTTTTAAATCGAATTTGTTTGATTAAAAGCCACTTTCTTTTC